GCTTGGCTACTCTTAGACCTTAGATGTCTTCCAGCTAGTTATATCAATTGTTCTGGAACTAGTTACGTAATAAATATATATTATCTAGAACAAACCAAAGAAACTTTATTCAAATGAAAAACCCTAAGTTTAGGATATCGAAAAAAAACGATTCTTTGCCATGGTAACCGGTTTCTAACACTAATGGATAATTCATAATTTTGTTGAAAGATCACCTCGAAGACGCGGAGTTTGAGATAAAAGTTTGGAGACTACGAGAAGAAAATGAAAGACTTTGGAAGAAAGTAGAGCACCTTGAACAAACTAGTAAGTATAATTTCAATTGTCATCGCGTATTTTACATGTGTTGTATACGTCGCTATGAGTCCCATATCGAATAGAACGCTGCATAACGACCATTGCCCTTTAATGTGTTGGAAGTGACCATTATGTGATGGAGGAAACACTATGTGATGGGAGTGTCTTACTATGTAGTGAGCGGCGAACTTTGTGTTGAGAGGGGCACACTTTGCGATGGGAGTGTCTCACTTTGTGATGGGAGGGGCTCACTATGTAGTGAGGGGAGAATTTTATGATGGGAGGGGCACACTTTGTGCAACCAGTGTGTCTAATCTGCAACAAAACACACTCAAATATGACATATTGTTTGTTACAGAACGTGAGACTCCTGATAACGCTGCAGCTATAGACGACATGATGCTGAATTTTGCCCAATTACTTGGCGTACACGCATGTGAACGCAGTGATGGTAACTACTATACATAATTGAATATAATTTGAATATATACATTTATGCACATAATATTGAAATCACAGGATGTATAATAAACTTATATGGTCTTATTTACTTTGCAGCAATCTCTTTCAGTAAAATGATGATGGACAAATTTATCGACGACAATACATGGACGGACGATGACGTCATACTGTGGAAGGGGTACACATACAAAAGAGATGACACCATACTCACGCCATAGACAAAACAAAACTATTTCTGTAAAAAGGTCATTATTTATAAGTAATAAACTGTGTTTACCAAGCTTGTGTTAGAGTGCATGCACATTGTAACTGTTTTGTTCTCCAGTGTTTACCGTACTTCGTAAAATGTAATTACTTTTGTACAGTATCCATGGATACGGTTTTAATTATGTTCTATATATTTTGATAATATTACATTTTGTTCTTGTAACAATTTACGTCTCCATCACGCAGTAAATGTGTATACCGTAAATCAATGATTTCATTTGGTTTTACCAATGCAATACGCGCTTCACAATTATTCTGGAAATATTCCTCCCACCTTCATTTGGTAAGTTGGATTGCTGTTTCCAAGGCGACCAAACTCCAGACCTGTTTCCATTTTTACAATTATCGGCAATATTACACTTTTATATTGTCTTGGGTTGCGGAAGAACTTTTGAAATAAAATTTGATTTATTAGAACCCCCCCTCTGTTTTTCCTCATTTAATGACATGATGCAAACGCGTATGGCGATAAAATCAGCACATGGCGATAAAATCAGCGTTTGTTGGCGAAATCAGCGTATGGCGGTAAAATCAGCGTATGGCGATAAAATCAGCGGATGGCGAGAAAATCAGCGTATGGCGATGAAATCAGCGTTTGGCGGTAAAATCCAGCGTATGGCGGTAAAATCAGCGTATGGCAATAAAATCAGCGTATGGCGATAAAATCAGCATATGGCGATGAAATCAGCATTTGGCGGTAAAATCAGCGTATGGCGGTAAAATCAGCGCATGGCGATAAAATCAGCGTATGGCGATACAATCAGCGTATGGCAATACAATCAGCGTATGGCGATAAAATCAGCGTATGGCGGAATGTTCGGTCACCTGGATCACACTTTTCTGGTTACAGACAGTTCTTTTGTACATTCATCAAGAAGAACCCCGATTGTGACATCATTTAAAGTCAAGCAACATTGTTAGAGGCGAATGACTAGACAAGACTACAATTCATAGTGAAAACAACTCCGCCATTGTATTCTAGTCTCCCAGTGCGTGTGCGGGATATACAATTACGTCACTCAACGACGTTACTACTAACGTTTCATATCCGTTCTGATCATTGTCTCGTTTCATATGTGTAACAATGAGAAGATCACAGTGAAAGACTAAAAATGGGACATCCACAATACCTATATCAATAACAGTTGTACGTAGAACTAATGAATATATTTATTGTCTACCAATATAGTTACAATTTCTGGAATACATTATTAGTATTAACCGTTTTACTAGTACAAACATCGAATGGAAACATTTACTTGTGAAACATACTGGTCGAACGTTAAATCATAATAAACTGTTGTATAATGTGTTCTATGTTGAACTGAGTAGTTACATCCAAGTATGGAGTATATGCCAGTGTTAGTACAACCAATCAATCACACAGTAGGTGCCTTTAAATCCGCCGATAAAAGGAGTAGTTTGATGACAGACCTATAAGAAACAATCTACAATAAGTATAATAATATTATGAAGTTAAAATTACAAACTACATTTTATTGGTTATTAGATTGTTATTCAATATAGAAGTATAATAGACATAAGTTTGAGATTAGTCTGGGTATATTCCGAGGTACGTATGGTCACATCTCTAAGGTCAGTCTGGGTATATTCTGAAGTACGTCTGGTCACATCTCTGAGGTCAGTCTGGGTTTATTCTCAGGTACGTCTGGTCACATCTCTGAGGCCAGTCTGGGTATATTCTGAGGTACGTCTGGTCACATCTCTGAGGTCAGTCTAGATATATTCTGAGGTACATCTGGTCACATCTCTGAGGTCAGTCTAGGTATATTCTGAGGTACGTCTTGTCACATCTCTAAGGCCAGTCTAAGTATATTCTGAGGTACGTCTGGTCACATCTCTGAGGTCAGTCTAGGTATATTCTGAGGTACGTCTGATTACATCTCTGAGGCCAGTCTGGATATATTCTGAGGTACATCTGGTCACATCTCGAAGGCCAGTCTAAGTATATTCTAAGGTACGTCTGGTAACAACTCTGAGGTCAGTCTAGGTATATTCTGAGGTACATCTGGTCACATCTCTGAGGTCAATCTGGGTATATTCTGAGGTACATCTGGTAACATCTCTGGGGTCTGTCTGGGTATATTCTAAGATACGTCTGGTCACATCTCTAAGGCAGTCTAAGTATATTCTGAGGTACGTCTGGTAACATCTCTGAAGTCAGTCTGGGTATATTCTGAGTTACGTCCGGTCACATCTCTGAGGTCAGTCTAGGTATATTCTGAGGTACGTCTGGTCACATCTCTGAGGTCAGTCAAGGTATATTCTGAGGTACGTCTGGTCACATCTCTGAGGTCAGTCTGGGTATATTCTGAGGTACGTCTGGTCACATCTCTGAGGTCAGTTTAGGTATATTCTGAGGTACGTCTGGTAACATCTCTGGGGTCAGTCTGGGTATATTCTAAGGTACGTCTGGTCACATCTCTAAGGCCACTCTGGGTATATTCTGAAGTACGTCTTGTCACATCTCGGAGGCCAGTCTGGGTACATTCTGAGGTACGTCTGGTCACATCTCTAAGGTCAATCTGGGTGTATTTTGAGGTATGTCTGGTCACATCTCTGAGGCCAGTCTGGG